TGTGTGTAGGGGGGGAGAATAGGAGCCAGAGTCCCAGCTCTCACCATTTGTAAACCATCCCTTTTTTTTTTTTATGAGCTTCTTCTCTTTGTAGAAGTTGTGCAAGAACTGAACTCCACGTGGAAAGAGCACGTGTTCCAGGCTGGTGTTCTGGTGTCCTCACCTGACATAATGCTCTCTGTTTTGTCAAAAGCGTGTGCGAAATGGAGCTTGTGACCCCGTTTGTAAGTGGGATGAAACCCAGGACGTTTGGAAGCTGGTAGTCTTACGGACAGCTATGGTCTAGTGCCCAGAAGGTGTGTGCAAGCTGACTGCTCTGGCAGCTGGGAGACAAGAAAGGAGCCGTAGCGTTTGGTCAGGTCTTGGTGGAAGGCCTTTTGGAGAAGACAGGAAGGCAAAATCTGTCTGAAATAGCCCGTGAGCTGCACCTTTCAGCAACTCCTGCGTAGGAGCTGCCCGTTACTTACGGAGCAGATCGTTTCGCGGGTGGTTAGAGGCTGCGTGATGGTTGTAACTACCATCGGGCTCCAGGATTTTGGCGAGGAAGCGGAGGAGTTTCTAACCCTGCAGGGGCAGTGTTCCTGGTTGTGTTCAGCTGACTTGGCTTTTGCCATCCCAGTGCTTCGGAAGGTCGGCTGAAGTTTCTTCCTGCTCTCAATGCCAGTTAGTTGTGCCGCCATCAGCTTGGCGTGGGTGCCCTCCGTGAGGGTATTTAACACCACGTTGTGTCAGCCGGCTCAGAGAAGTCTTACTGATCCGGTGAGGTGTTGGGCGGGATGGAGAGAGGCAGAAAAAGCCAGGAACGAGAAGCTGGCTTAGTGATTGCAGGCGCCAAAACCCCATGAGGACCGTTGGGGCGAGGTTTCCAAGGAGGTCTCTATTCACCTGCTTTTAAAAAGAGGGATTTTACTGCCAGGATGTTTTTGCTGGGCAGTGATTTCCAGAGACGCTTTAACTGGGAGTTATTTAGTGCCCATCTCTGCTTTGAAATCTCTTCTTTCATTCCAAGTGTTTTACAGCAATCAAGTTTTCAGAATTTGAAACCTCTTTTTTTTTTTAATGTACCCTGTCTTCATTTTAGATACAACTATCCAGGTTGTTGATGGTGGTTCTCCAAACCAATTGGCATGATGGCTGTTTTTCAGAGCAGTGAAATAAAAAGCTGCTGCAGGCAAAAGGAATGAGATCCTGCCAACAACTGCGAACAGAGGAGGGTAAATGAACTTTGTCTGAAATAACGCACGGCCCTAGACTGAGCCCTCTGAGTCAGTGTGCATCATACAATTTGGTCTTCCTATGGCAATGTGAATATGGCAATTGTGACATGAAGGACGATCAGAAATCCCACTTAGGTATATCAGTTGTCACATTTTTTTTTTTCCCCAACTGAATGTTCCAAATAGACTTTGCTTGGGTGTTCGGTGTACGACCTCATCTTGGGGCACACTAGGGTATTTTAGTGAGTGGTAGTGCAGCGTTCAACTTCTTTAGAGCGACGGGATTTATTTCTGGGATCCTTTCTTTTACACTTGAGCTTATTCCAGCGTGTCCTTGGGAAAGGGAGTGATACAGCTGCAAGCGCAGAGCTCGCTGCGCTTAGGCTGGGGTTGTTTCACGCTGCCCAGTCTTCCCCAAATGCCTGTAGAGAGAATCTTACTGTTATATTTAATAGTGGTTATTTATTTTATTCATGATATTTACATGAATTGCCATCTTAGGAAAGGATGGGTTATGGCAGCAGATGCATTCTTTCCCTGGAGCTCCTTTGAGACCAGACTCCTGGTTTCACAGGAGCTTCTGTTCAGCTATCACCTTCATTTGCCTTAATTTGGGAATACCTGTAGTCGTCCACCCTCTTTTGTTCAGGTGTAGAATAACCCCAGTGGTGACTCACAGGGGTGTTGCCTTGGGGCTGTGATGCCCATCGCACAAAGCTCTGAACTATCAAAAGCCTTAGGGTGCTCCTTAGGAAATGCAACAACGGCAAATATACCTGGAAGCAACCGATTTATTTTTCCCCACCTATTTTTTAAATAACTACCGTGTTATTTGGGAAGGGAAGGGGTAGATGAAAGTCCTAACCTGCTGACCATCAGTGTTTGCTTAGGGTGTGTTCGCTTACAACAGCATCCTCAGCCTTCAAGTGGGAGCAGTGCTTCCTTGAAGGCTGTCAGATTGGGGCTGTGGGGGCCGCCAAGACGTATCCACCTTTCACAAAGGGACACTTGGGGTTTAGAGAGATTAAATTCCTTTCCAGAGGTGGCAGAAAACCACCTGAGGAGCCCAGGTCTCCTGGGCTGCACGGGAGCTGCTCTGCCTGTCCGGCAGCCAGCACAACGGTCCGGCAAAGGCCGCGTCTGGTCCCTCAACACGCTTCGCTCGGCCTTGCTTTTGAGCTTGCAGCTGGACTTCTGGCCAGGGAGGGGAAAGTGCTAGTAACAGGCTAGAAAATCTGCTTTAATCTCTGCCTTGCGTGGCAAATCTGTCTCGTTACAGCACAGTGAAGCTCTCTTTGAAATTTGTGTGACTTTTGTTTGTTTGTTTTCTTTTCTGTGTGTGGCTATACGTGATCTGGATTTGCCCCTAAATCATGATCTCGTATTTGACCGCCAGGAACTTAATTGTTGGGAGTGAGGCTGCTCAGCTGCATTACATAGACTGTGCTGCCATCTGCAGGAGGTGCTGTTATAAAAAGAGAGAAAACAATTTGCGAGTGGTGGGGGTTTTTCTGCAGCCAGACGTTTCTTTTCGATATATGCTGTGGTAAAACCCAGCGCAGGACGCTTGGTGCCGTACCGGCAGAATAAACGGCAGCCCCTCTTCTTTTCCATTCATTTTTCAGGTGCAACACCTGTATTTCAGATGAACCCTCTGGCATCCTGCATTTGATTTTTCAATTGTGGGGAGTTTTTTTGTTACCGCTTTTGTGTTCACAATTTTGCTTTTCTGAAATGCTGTAACGGAGGGGGGGGGAAAATGAAGGAAAAGCTGAAACTTCCCTTCTGCTGACAACCCCCTCAGAATTTCTTTAAAAGCCAAAGTATTCCAGTGGCAAATGGAAACATCAACTCTTTCCTTCCGAGGAGGGAAGGAAATTTTTTTTATTTACCAAAATAGAAAAGATGATGTTCAAACATTTTATTTTTTTTTTTTTTTTAAATAATAAAAAACCCCAATAAAAGTCAAATGTGTCTTTTTTGATCAGCAGCAAAAAGACAAAGACCAGCCCTTTAAGTCAGATGCTGTAAACTGACCTTTGGAGAAAAAGGAGAGGTTTGAGCGGTTTTCCACAAATGCTAATGGCCTAGAAAACATGTTTACCCAGGGCTGGGGGAAGGCTGCTGCGCTGCTACCAGCTCAAAATGTCCGGAATGACACTTTCATTCACAGATGTCTTTCGTCTGTGCCTCAGAGGTCCGGGGTCAAAGCAGCACCGGCAGGCAGGTAGGCAGGGGCGAAAGGTTTGATCAGTCTGTGATGGCTCCGCTCGCTCTGCATTTGTCTCTGAGGTATTGCCGCCCGGGGGGGACAGTCGGGCTCTGGTCCTACTCACTTCCTATTATCCATGTGACTTGTCTCCGCCACGCTGGAGTCACTTTGATTTGCCTGATGTACTGCTTGACAAAGCTGGGTGATGGCTGAGAAGTGGATCCAGCTGCTCTGAAAAGCGCACACCTGACATGCCAGTCCTGGTGCGGGCACATCATGGGGAGCATTTTTTAATTCAATGTAATTTATGCATTCTTGCAGTCCTGTGTGTGCCTGGCCTGTCAGCCAGTGCCTAGATGAAGGCTGACAGTTGTCATCCAGGGCCTGAAGGTAGCCTCACATAATGACACATTAGACATACTAATGATGTTTTCTTCTGGCATAATGTTTTCTTCTCAACTTTCCTCTCCCCCTCACCCCCTCCCTCCCTCCCTCCCTCCCGACTACAGGGATGCTCAGGACACAAACACGCCAAGGAGACTGCGTCTGCAGAGAATGTGGAAAATGCTTTACCCAACCCAGTCACCTCAGGACTCATCAGAGGTCCCACGCAGGTACCTTTTCACACTCGCTCTTGCTTGCTTCTCCCTTTCCCCTTTGCCTGCTTTCGGATCCAGCTAACAAAATGCCAAGAATTACGTTTCCCATACCATTATGTTTCACATACCCTGTTAACCAAAGTAATCCCAGTACTTAAATCCAATAGGTTTCTTTATTTTTACGACTCTTGCTCTTATTCTCCGGATATTGCTTACCTGATCCCCGCCCGAACTCCACAAAATTGCCATGCATTTCAGAGAAGTCTGTTTGCAAATTGTTTTATTTTAATTAGAGAGCAGGGTACTCAGAAATGAATATGCTAATGAATTCCGTTGCCACCAGCGCAAATTGAAATCAAAGTACCCCTTTCAGCGCGACATAAGGCTTTGTTTTGCCTCATCGTTGCTGTTGACAGGAACATTTTTGCGGGAAACGAGATGTTTCCACAGACTGGTCAGCCCCAACATCCCAGGGAAATCCCTACCAGCCGTTTTTAACCCGTGGTGGTCTGCGGCTGAGGGCTGTAAGAGGCTAAAGCCACCCATGTCGAGAGGCCTCCCGAGCATTGCTCGAGACGGTGAGGCTAGCGCGTTGCTCCTGAAAAGTGTGAATGATGCATGCATAAGCCAGTCTGATGCAAAATGACAGAGGCCAAATGGTAAGTAATGCAAGAAGAGGGTCCCTTTACACATACACTGATAATTAATGTTGTCAGTGATTGCTTTCTTCAGCGCCGAAGTCTGAATTAAAAAGGGCAGTGGCCCTAGGCTGCCATTAGCACACTCTCTTACAGTAAGTGTTACGGTAAATTGGTATTTTCCGGCCACAGGCTAGTAGCTGGTGTCTTTTTTTGAACGTGGTTAATCTGTAATGGTCTCAAATAATGTACACACACTAACGAAGCTTGAATGTTCATCTGTTAACAAGCCCCCTTGTTCCCACAGTGGTATTTGAGTCTAATGGACTCCGAGGTACTGAAGTTCACACCACCTCCGCAGATGCCCCAAAACAAGTATGTTTTACAATTAATTGGATGTTTGGGTTTTAATGTGGTAGCTGGGAAAAAGTTGCACGGTGATACTCATCGCTGAAGCGCTGCCTGTGCTGTTAACATGTATAAATAATAACGGTGTTGCTCGATTTTTTCTTTTTTTTTTAGCTCGTAAATTTTTTAAGCGTTTTATCAAAGTCTGTTAGATAGAGAGTCAGTTAATTGTAAGGCAGGTAGTTAGTGTTTAAATAAACATGTTACCACCTTGCTGGGGACTGGGTGGAATAGGTAACTCTAATGCACACTGATATGTAACAGTGAGAGAGTCCGTAAAGAATTCCTTGAAATAATTTGCTTTTACAACTGACACGTTTTCTGCTGCAACAGTACAATTCACGCTTAGTCTGTATTTCTCTGAAGCCTATTTGTACCCCGGTATCCAGTATCTGGCCTCCGAAAGGCTCTCATCCCCCAGTTCCCGTGGAATCTGTGCGTGGCGGTGTGCTTTCCTGCATCTAGTGCACAGCTCCCTGTCTTAACAAACAATTCCCAGCGCTCTGAATGATACGTGACAAAGCCATGGCATGGAAAACCATTAAACTGAATTTGTTTCATGTGTCTTGTGCCTTTGGAGACCAGTGCCCTAACCTGGACCTTCCCATTCCATCTCCCAGCTTGGCAGTTGGGTTCCAGGGCACACCTACTCACGGGCAGTTGTCTTTCATGGTGAAACTGCCTCCAGCATCCCTCGCTCTTCCTTTCATCCGTGTTTTTAGTTGTTTGACTACAGCATTTTTCCTGTCCTCCTGCCTGTGCTTAGAGAACACGTCTCCACGCTTGTCCCGCCTTCGTGAAGCTTAGGACTTGGTTCCTACTTGCTCGATAAACATCCTCACCGGGCAGCGCCGCATCACGTAGTTCATACGCTGCCCCCTTCACGGAGCCTCTTGGCACCTTCTTCTCTGTGGCACTTGCATCTTTCTGGCCCAAAAGCTACGTGGGGAACCCAGCCGCTGCCACGGGAGCGTCTTGAGTTGCCGTCGGGGTGGCCAGCAACTCTCCTCATGAAGTTTTCAAGGTGGCACTTGGGTGGTGGTTGTGGGCGATGTTCGCGTTGCTTTTGTGGGACAGCAGCAGCGAAGTTATGCTGTGGTTGGAGAACTAGATGAAAGTGCTCTCCACACAGCGCTTACCTAACAAAATTGTGCGAGGACATGCCTCTCGGTAGAAGTACGTGACAGTGAGACACTGCAGGCCCTGCAAGCTAGCTCAGCTAGGGTCTGGTTCTCGTTGGTTCAGTGATGTAGGTTTAGTAAACCTAAGCGCCTTTAAAACGCTCTTTAATCTTCCTCATCCTTTTATCTCGCGTGGTTGAGACCGGATTCTGAAGGCACCTGGGCTTTTTTCCTCTCAAAGGCAATGTCGTGTCAAAGCTGGAAATAATTTCCAAAAAATTCTGAAATGGCCGTATCCATCCAAAAAGAGAGCGGCAGCCCAGTCTACCTCTGGACTCTTTTTGTAATTCGGGTTTTATTACTGCACAATAAATTTACTTATCATCTTGTCTTTGTAAACTACTGCCGTGCCAGAATTTATTGACTAACTTCTTCCACGGCAAACGTAGCTTGCTCTTGCAGTCTCAGTCCGTGTCAATCTGTCTTCAAAGCATTTGATTAAATTACAGCATCTCTCAATACCGCAGAGCGCTGGGTAGGGGTTAGCTTCATGAATCACTTTGTCTCTTGCCAGTCAGTATTTCTTCCGCAGAAACTGCGGTCTGATCCCTTCTCCAGGAGATAGTTCCCTTTCTTTTGTCTCGTTTGCTCCTCAGCATCAGCCTTTGTCTCGGCTTGTCAGCGCCCGTGTCGGTTAGGATTATTCAGTCGTCTGCCGTTTTGCTCGTTGTCGTCGCGAGCGGGCTTTGCGCTCCCCCCGGAAGACCCCACCTGCGCAGTCCCTGGGCGTTCGAGAGGGGAAGACGTTCGTTTCCACCTGCAGCCGTAGGGGCCTTGAGAAGCGCAGAGACGAGCTCGCGCGGAGAGCGGTGCCTGCAGCGTTCTGGTAGCGTTACGATTTCCCACTTTAAACGTTGTCAGTCTGTGTCTTCATTTCAGTTCTTAATTGGGGACAGATCTATTCATGAGAGTTTACGGTGTAAAGTCAGTGCAGGTTACAGAAGTGCCATGCACATGCTCCGAGCAAGAAACAATAGTTAACCACGTACAGTAGCTTGAGAATGAAAAGGGTTTTTTATAGTGGTAAATGGAAATGATTCACTTTACATAACGTTTCCCCCTCACAGGTAAAATATCTTCCCCCGAGTAGTCTGCTGAAGAGTAAAAATATTAACATTAGTATTTCACCGTTCCCCCGTTCCCTTCAGTAGTCAACCAGAAGATCATCTCTGAAGGTTTCCTTTATGAAAGAAAGTTCAGGAGGGCTTTTGAAATCCCCCAGCGTAGGAGCTTACAACGGTGCTACGTTATGTAGCAGTTTTCTCATAGAATAGTTCTGATTCCGTATGTTAAAAACAGGGCCTTCAGCCAGGCTTTTTCAAAAATGAGCCAGCTTAAATCTATGTCGAGGTGTCTCAATGGGAAGCCTGCTTTAGGAGAGTGAACCACCAATGGGAGGTGGAGGTGTTCAGCACCACGGAAACGTAGGCCGCCTATAGGGGCGTGTAAACCAGGTCCTACGCACCCCGTGTATTAGCACTGGGCTGCGTTTCGTGCTTTGTTACCAGCACCCATGAAATAGAAGATGTTCATTTCCTTCACAACGTTATTTACTGTGGTTTCTTTCTTCTACCTGAATGATTTACCAAAAAAAAGGACATTTTTACATCAAATGAATTTCCCTTCTGGAATATTTCCTACTCTTCTTTGTCTAAAGGACAAAACACGCTCATTACATACCCCGAGTCAATACAATCTGTGCAAAGCCATGAAGCTTCTCTTGAAATGCTGCCATATAAAACATACTGAATATTCTGAATATTTTCATAAATGCTAACTATCCCAATATAGCCATAATTAAGGTTGCTTATCCACAATGAATATGTATCTGAATTTGGAATACACTAAGCAGCATCCAAAGACCTGATTTAGTAGGCATGAATTCAGGGAGCGCGCTCCGATTGCTTCTACGGGGCAAGACAGACGCTGGCTCCCCTGCGGAAGGCGCCGCGCCGCGTGTCTCGAAGCCGCGGCAGCTCTCGAGGCAGAGCTCTCCTACAGCACGGGGTGGCTCCAGAGACGCCGCCTGGGGCTGCGCCGCCGCAGCCAGAAGCCCGGGGCCCAGGCGCAGTGCGCGGCCCAGGCGTCGGTCTGCGAAAGGGTGACGGCAGAGGTGGGCGATGGCTGATCCCGGCGCCTCGCGTTTAACTTCTGCTGCCTTTATAAAAACACGGGAAGGCTTGGTCTGCTTGAGGAATATCATTTATCCTCTCTCAGTGCAAGGTCAACAGGCTCTAAAAAGTCCAAGGGTGCTCCAAAGGCGTGGTTTCTGGTTAGCAACGAGGAGAGTTCTGCCTGGTTTGAGAGCACGTTACACATGAAG